GAGCGCAGCCACGGCCCCTCCAAAGGATCCTTCACCTCAGGAGGGAATCCGGATCCCAGCAAGCGGATTCTGTCCATCTGGACGTTTTCACTGAGAAACGTTTCTTCATCATCCAAGACTGAAGACGTCACTGGGATGAGCGACGAAACGTTTCTCCCATGAAGCCTTTGGGACTTGTAAACAGCACATTAGCACAATGACTAACAATGGGCTGTGAGGTCAGTTTATGATCACTAATGTGCAAATTATAATAACCGCTGATCAGTGGTCATGAGTCACAGAGAGACCGCGGTAAAGTGAGCCGTCATTTGTGAGCCGCGGTCAAGCCAGCCGCCTCCTATCCGCCGCATAAATTTCCTTGCGCTTTTACACCAGTCTTTACGGTAGCGCCTTTTCGCTTTATATCCTGATTGAACACACAAATTACAATGGAACAGCCCAATACAGCCATCGTGACAGTCTGGTTGCATATTCAAAAATTCATTAAAAGTCATTCTTAAAAGTTGATGCCAAGCTTTCAACACAATCCTCTTCTCGGACACCTACTTTACCTCTGGGCCAGTTTTTACCCAGATTTACTGTAATATTACTCAGAAATCACAGTAAACTCATATTCAGTGCAATACAGTCAATACACTACAATTATGTTTATTTCAAAAATTCATTAAAAATCATCCTGAGTAGTTGAGGTCCAACTTTCAACACATCCCTCCTCTAGGACACCTACTGTACCTGTGTGCCAAGTTTCATCCAGATTCACTGTAAAATTACTCAGAAATTAAAGGACATTTATATGCAATTCAATACAGTCAATACACTACAATTATGGAAATTTCAGAAATTCATTAAAAATCATCCATAATAGTTGAGGTCCAACTTTCAACACATCCCTCCTCCGGGAAACCTGCTGTATGTCTGGGCCAAGTTTCAGCCAGATTTACTGTAATATTCTTCAGAAATTGCAGGGAACTCATGTTCAGTTCAAGAAAGGCTGAAAGACGACCACCACTGAACAAGACACACAAGCTGAAACGTCAAGACTGGGCCAAGAAATATCTCAGGACTGGTTTTTCTAAGGTTTTATGGACTGATGAAATGAGAGTGAGTCTTGATGGGCCAGATGGATGGGCCCGTGGCTGGATTGGTAAAGGGCAGAGAGCTCCAGTCCCACTCAGACGCCAGCAAGGTGGAGGTGGAGTACTGGTTTGGGCTGGTATCATCAAAGATGAGCTTGTGGGGCCTTTTCGGGTTGAGGATGGAGTCAAGCTCAACTCCCAGTCCTACTGCCAGTTTCTGGAAGACACCTTCTTCAAGCAGTGGTACAGGAAGAAGTCTGCATCCTTCAAGAAAAACATGATGTTCATGCAGGACAATGCTCCATCACACGCGTCCAAGTACTCCACAGCGTGGCTGCAAGACAGGGTATAAAAGAAGAAAAACTAATGACATGGCCTCCTTGTTCACCTGATCTGAACCCCATTGAGAACCTGTGGTCCATCATCAAATGTGAGATTTACAAGGAGGGAAAACAGTACACCTCTCTGAACAGTGTCTGGGAGGCTGTGGTTGCTGCTGCACCCAATGTTGATGGTGAACAGATCAAAACACTGACAGAATCCATGGATGGCAGGCTTTTGAGTGTCCTTGCAAAGAAAGGTGGCTATATTGGTCGCTGATTTGTTTTTGTTTTGTTTTTGAATGTCAGAAATGTATATTTGTGAATGTGGAGATGTTATATTGGTTTCACTGGTAAAAATAAATAATTGAAATGGGTATATATTTGTTTTTTGTTAAGTTGCCTAATAATTATGCACAGTAATAGTCACCTGCACACACAGATATCCCCCTAAAATAGCTAAAACTAAAAACAAACTAAAAACTACTTCCAGAAACATTCAGCTTTGATATTAATGAGTTTTTTGGGTTCATTGAGAACATGGTTGTTGTTCAATAATAACATTATTCCTCAGAAATACAAGCTCTGTACAGGTCTGCTCGAGCTGACTTGAAAAGGGGTCCCATCTGTCCAGCAACAACACATGGCATGGAATAATAGACATCATAAACCACAGAGGCAGAACTGTGAAAACAGAAAACCTGAGTGTGCAGCTAGCAGAGGAAATAAACAGCTTCTTCGCCCGCTTTGAAACACCACAACAGCAGCATTCATCTGCCTCAGCCCTGCTCCCATCCTCATCCTCACCTGGTTCCTGCACCGCTCCATTCACTGTAACGGAGCACGATGTCAGATGAGTGTTCCTAGCAGTGAACCCCAGGAAGGCGTCCAGACGGAATACGTGGTAAAGTGCTAAGACCATGTGGCCACCAGCTCACCCTCATCTCCACCAGAATCTTCAACCTCTCACTGGATGAAGCAGCCATCCCATCCTGTCTAAAATCAGCCACAATCATCCCAGTACCAAAGAAGTCTCCCATCACCAGCCTGAACTATTATTGCCCTGTGGCCCTCACACCGGTAATCATGAAATGCTTTGAGAGACTAGTCCTTCAGCACACCAAGGATTACCTCCCCCCAGAATTCGACCCCCACCAGTTTACATACCGTGCAAACAGATTCACAGAAGACGCCATCACCCTCCACTCGGTGCTGAGTCACCTAGAACAGCGGCAGAGCTACGCCAGAATGCTCTTTGTGGACTACAGCTCACCCTTCCACCACTCGCCCATTGAGAGCCTACTAACTTACTGCATCACAGTATGGTACGGCAGCTGCACTAAGGCGGATAGAGCCACCCTCCCAGCATGTTTGCAATGAGTAGGAGATGCTCTGTATCTCACTGTACAACTGTATAGTGACAAAGGTATTGGGTTCTTTTCTAAAAATTGCTATAAACAGAGGAACCCAAACTGATGAAAAGTGGCGAATATTTTTTTTCAAATGACTATTTTTAGTGGATGTTTGATATAGAAGCAGAATGACAGAATGTTAAAAGAACTTACTTTTAGTCGCTCTAAGCTGGGCATTGCGTTCTCTGGCTGTTCAAAGCCATGGAACTTTAGACTTTCCAAGCAAATAATGATGGCCATGCTGATGTTCTTTTCAGTACATTTTACTTTATGTTCATTTTCATTTTTATGATGTTTCTATTTTTACATAATTCCTCCCACATAGCAAAATTGGTATGGCCTGGATCTGTCCCACACAATGTGCTTACACATGGCCTGCGTACCGCAAAGAATGACGGCCCTATGGTGGCCCAGATCTGGTTTACCAGAGGTGGCCCACACATGAGCCAGCACAAGGCCAGTTGCAGACACACTGCTGGCCCTGTGCTGGCCCAGAACAGTTTCAGCTCTGGCCCCAGATGTCAGCCTAATGTGTACCTTAGCCATGTAAGCCATGTAATAACAACATGTGCTGGAACATAATAGTGCAAAAGTAACATGACGAAACTCTGTTCAGACAGTGAATGGACTGATTCTTATACAGCACTTTTTTACTCACCCATATTACTCAAAGTGCTCTATACAACATGTCACATTCACCCAATCAGGCCAAATGTTGGCATGCCATCACATAAACAGTGCCATCTTACCATGCCAGAAGTCAGCCAGCAGTGCCGGCTTGACACCAGATCCAGGCAAGACCCGTCTGCTATGTGGGATGACTTGTTCTTTTGGCGTTTTAGTTGTGGATTATGTTTGGGCTGTGTCTCTTGCCCTTTCAGTATTGTTTCCTTGTGCTTCTAAGTGTCCCTTTGTTTCTTTTTAGGTTATGTAGTATGGGTTAGAGATATTTTGTATGTTGTTTTTGTTTAATAAATCCGCCTTTTGGATTATTCCCTGATGTGCCTGAGTTCTGTTATTTAGTGTCACTTTGAAAGGACACACATCCAGCATTGACATATAATTGTTCTTTCAATTTTTGATAAAGATTACAGTGAATTGAGATGTAACTTGGCCCAGAGGTACGGTAGGACGCCCAGAGTAAGAAAGTGTTGAAAGTTGGACCTCAACTATTATGGGTGATTTTTAATGAATTTTTGAAATTTCCATAATTGTATTGACTGTATCGGGCTGTTTCATTGTAATTTGTGTGCGCGCATGTGCGTGCGACTGTTCGCGCGCGCACGTGTGCGCGGGTATAGGCTTTCAATCGGCACATGAAGCGAAAAGGCGCTACCGTAAAGACTGGTGTAAAAGCGCAAGGAAATTTATGCGGCGGATAAGAGGCGGCTGGCTTGACTGCGGCTCACAAATGACGGCTCACTTTACCGCGGTACAGAGAGGTGGGGAACGCTGCAAAGCTTGGCTCTGTGTAGATTCCCTCTACTGCAGGTACAGCTGATACAGACGCGGCAGCGTGGGGAGGAATAAGACACATGATGTTGGAGCAGAGACTGAAGAGAATATGATATCAACAGGATGCTTCAAGGTGTAAACGTACAGATGAGCTCCAAACGCTTCATCCCCCTGCCCTGTTCAGGTTTGAAGTCATCTCAACATTTTGGAGCCTGAATCTGATAGTTGGGATTATAGTGATGACACGGAGGAAAATGTCAAAATAGCAGAAGCAGCGAGCAAAAAGCTGCTCTGAGCGCTTCAACGGCAATAAAACGTTTTCCTTTGATCAGCGAGAAGACTAATAATCATCTTCTACATTTTTAATACAAAGTAAATAAATGTGGTTCTTTACATTTTGGGATAGTTGCCTTGTTTCCTCTTTGTTTGAATCGAGATCTGGAATAATGTGGGCCTGAACTGGCACCAACAAATGTGTTCTGCTGTAACCCGCGAGCTGAGCGCTGATGTGTCGACACCTGTCACTGAAGTAAAACGTCACCACGTCCTGTCCTGCGGTTGGAATGGAGGCGGAGTCAACTGGTTCCGCTGACATGCCTACCTGTAAAACCCCGGTGCGTGTGCGTGTGTGTGTGTGTGTGAGAGAGAGAGAGAGAGAGCGCACGAACAGATTGATGACACCCTCTGGGGGCGGGGCTCCCGTGGTTTCTGTAACTAAAGGAAGTCCCTCCGTGGGCTCGCCCAGTACAGTTTCACCGCACCGTTCCCTGCGCAGGCATTCCCGACATTCTCCGCGCTCCCTGCTCTGCACCTGTCGGACAGGTGTGGCGGGTTGACTGAGCCGAGCTGCGGAGACACACAGCGCGCGCGGAGCCGTTCGTGGTCACCTATGGGTGAGTGTCTGCGCAGAGCGTGCCCCTGCCTGCAGTCACTGTGGGAGAGGATCCTCACGGGCAAGAAGGCTCCTCAGCCAGCGGGAGCAGGAGGTGAAGAAGAGGATGGAGGAGGACGGAGAGGGACCTGCAGCGACGGGGAGCAGCCCCAGGCCCCGACGCCGCCCCCGAAGCCCCCGAAGGAGACCGCCTCCGAGGGTAGCTGCATCTACACGGCCATGTGGCCCTTCGAGTCCCGGCACCAGGAGGAGCTGTCCTTCCAGGAGGGAGACCTGTTCAGGGTGGTCAGCCGCAGCGGAGACTGGTGGACTGCGCGGAAGATCGACCGCAACGGGCACGTCGTGGCGCAGGGCATCGTCCCCAACAACTACCTGGCGAGGGCAGAGTCCATCAACGTGCAGCCGTGAGTACAGCTTCCTCTGACGGCTCCCAGAGAGCAGCTCTGACCTCGGAGCTCCGAGGGCCATCCCGGTGTCCGCGATAGACAGAAGCACGTGAGCGGCGTGTCTGTAGTAGAGCAGGTGTTTAGAGGGAGTAGGACATTTCCAGGATCGTTTCAGGGGTAACACACCTGATCCAGCCCCGAGTGTAGACAGCTCAGGTGTCTCATCTGTGAGCCTCTCCTGTCCAACTCAGAGTTTACACTCAAACCCAACAGGAGCAAGGCTTCAGCACAAAGTGCGGCAGTAAAATCATCCATGATTTGATTTAATGCTGCAGGCAGCTGCAGGGGATTTAATGACCTCCACACTGGGGCACCTTTATTTACACAGCATCATATGATTCATCATAAAGTCAGTACAACAGGAAGACACTCAAGCTTCTAAATGTTTACACTGGAAATGTGACGCAGTGCAGCAGAGTGGTATTTCAAGAATGTACAAGTACATTCAGTGTATACTTTGAAAACGTGTCACAGTAATTTCCTATTAATATGTCACTGAACAGGTAAAGGTGTTGACAGGAAAGCTAGAAGATTTCCAGCTTAAAGGCAGAAATTCATTCACATTCAGAATCACGTTTTTTATTATGTTCACGAGGCTGCTGTGCCTCCAGCTGCAGATGCATAAATCAGGATGTGTACACTGAAAAAAGGGGGCTGGCCAGCTCGTGGATTTATGTAAGCATCGTGTATTTAACACAAGTGCCTCATGCTTTAACGTTAAGTGTAACTATATAGTGTAGAAACTACATAATATGCAGAGCTAGATTAAGTTGTTCATATCATGTTTGAGTGAAGTCAATAATATCGCAATATTAAATCCCGCGACACCGGGATTTCAGTCTCGCGCGCTTTGGTTTGAGGAAGACGTCCGCCTCAGTCAAGTCGAGTAGCCGCCTCTACTTTTTTTTGGTTTACCGAAAAAAGGACATTGGGTGGTTGTTACATTACACTCAAAAAATAATTCATTGGATGAACGTAATTTTATCTTGCCACTTATATTCCATCTAAACAAATCATGTTATATTAATCCATCTTGATTGTGTTGTGTCAACACGATATATGTGTGTAGGTTTAACATAATATTAACATTAACATTCAATTAATTTGACTTTTGTTCAATCAACATGTTTGCACCACGTTAGTCTAATTAAATTTATTTAAATCCGTCTTATCTTGTTTAAACACTTTGGCACATCAAAAGTCAGTCTTGTTACACGAACTAGTAAAATATTTGTTTGTTACACCAATGATAATCTTGTTGAATGAATGAAAGGTAACTTATGTCTGTAGTACATGTTGTATTCATATTACGTAATGTTCAACCAAAAGAAATCAATGGATTTACAGTAACTTCCAATCCACCCATCTTCTTAGCTTTATCTGGGCTGCGGAAGTGATAGGGCAAGAGGGACAGGGTACATCCTGGACAGGTCGCCAGTCAATCATACAGAGACAAACACTATTTGCACTTCAACACCTTTGGGTAATTTAGAATAACCAGTTACCCTTACAACTGCATGACTTTTAACTGTGGAGGAAACCAGAGTACGCAGAGAGAACCCACTGCAAACTTCACCACACTGTGGATTTGAACCCAGGCTCTTCTTGCTCTGAGGCAACAGCACGAACCACCATGGCATTAATGTGTCAATGCAGACTTAACAAAAGTAGGAAAGCTATGCTTGATGATGCTTTATGTTGTTGTCCTTGACAAGTTAAACCATAAGAAGTAGTAACAGCATACACGTGGTGTGGTTGTCTTTCTCTTGTAACCCCACTGATTGTCCTGTGGTTTGACATCTGATGTGATCTTGTGAATTTCGTGAGTCGACCTCCAAAATCAAATTGGGTGGTTGTTACATGCATAAGATCCAAACTTGTAATTTGAACTAAATAATTCCATGTTTCTATGGTGAACGTAATTAAATCATGTAGCATCTGCATGAAATTCAGCAACTTAATTTGTTCTTGTTGAGATGACATCATACAATCTAGTAAGAGTGGTTCGTTGCTGGACTCATGAAATTCGCAAAATCACATGAGATGTCAAACTGCAGGAAAATCACTGGAGTTATAAGAGGCAGACAACTACACACCCACCACGTGTTTGCTGCTTACTGTGGTTTAACCTGTCAAGGGCAAAAACGTAAAGAAAATTCTGCATCAAGCCTTGAAATCATAGCTTTCCTACTTCTGATGATCCTGTATTGGTGGCATGGTGCTTAGTGCTGCTGTCTCCCAGTAAGAAGGTCCTGGTTCAAACCCACAATCTGGCACAAAGGGTTGTTTGTCTCTATGTGATAGACTGGTGAGCTGTCCGGGGTGTACCCTGCCCTGTAACTATCACTTCAGGGTTATTTCCAGCCCCCCTGCAACCAGGATAAAGACCAGGATGGTAGTTGTTGTAGATCCATTCACTTTTTATGGTAACCAGACTCTAGACTTTGTTGAACATTATGTAATATGAAGACAACGTGTAGTATTTAAGTGACCAACTAGTACTGGGTTAAAAGTTATTGAATAGTGTTGAAATAAAATGACATTGTGGAGGATTAAAATATTCCAAGAGCTCAACTTACTCCATCTAAACATGTTTCAATCGCCTTTTATGAACACAAAATTTATTGAATATGAATAAGTTGTGTTGATTTAACTTGTTTGTTTGTTTGCGTGCAACCAATGTCCACTATTAATAATGGATTGGATTTATATAGCGCTTTTCAAGGCACCCAAAGCGCTTTACAATGCCACTATTCATTCACTCTCACATTCACACACTGGTGGAGGCAGCTACAGTTGTAGCCACAGCTGCCCTGGGGCAGACTGACAGAAGCCAGGCTGCCATATCGCGCCATCGGCCCCTCTGGCCAACACCAGTAGGCAAGTAGGGTAAAGTGTCTTGCCCAGGGACACAACGACCAGGCCAGAGAGCCCAGGGATCGAACCGGCGACCTTCCGGTTACAGATGCGATTCCCAACCCCCTGAGCCACTATTGAATCAAGTAAATTCAACATGGCCTTTTTTTCAGTGTAACACCTTTATTATCAGCCAGAGTCCAAACTGTCCACCTACCTGCCAGGAACTCGCAGCACTGTAAACGCTTCCTTTAACCTTTATCACACATTTATCCTTTATCGCATTAGTAAAACTGAGGTAAGCAGTGAAGCAGAGCGCTGTAAAAAGACACTTTGGGAGTCAAACGGTTGTTTTCTACTGCAGTGAAGTGTGCATGTGCGTCCTGTTTACAGCTCTGCCTAAAAGTGGAAGTTTCTGTAAGTTCTGCTTTCCTGTCACTTCTGTGAAAAGATGCAGGCAGTCAGCATGGGGGGTTAAACAGCAGCCCCGCTAATCAGACGCTTTAGGTCACCGGTGTCCTCGAGGGCCGCAGTCCTGAAACGTTTCCATGTGTCCCTGTTGCAGCACACCTGGATACAATTAGTAGGTCATTAGCCCGACTCTACAGAACCGCATGCTGAGGTGCAGTTCAGCCACTTCATTCATGTTACAGCAGCTCATGACTGACTGAACATGGTGCAATAAAAGTACTTTTTTACAAACACTTATATTTAAATTTACTTGAGTAGGGTTCGGGGTTGCCACCTCGGCATGCAGTCAGGTTCCATAGTCTTGGTAATGACCTACTAATTGTATCCAGGTGTGTTGCAGCAGGGACACATGAGCCGTGTCCCAAAACGTCGGCTGTGTCCTTCGAAGGGCCCGCCTTCGCGTTCTATGTGGGCCGGGTCCTTCGAAGGCCGGAAGTGCGAGGCTGTGAAATGGGACGGTCCAGCCTTCAGATCTGCGTCACCGCTGTGTGGGTGGAGTTTAATAAACTCGCCGTCTGCTCCGTGCTGTCTAAAATATAACAGGACACTGGAGGAAACTCTCGACCGTCTCACTCTTCTGTTTAATCAGTTTTCTGTTTGACGTTTATTCAGCTGTGTGAAAATCCCGGAGGAACCCACCCGATGGATTAATAAAGTTTTATTTAATCTAATAATCTAATAACTTTGATCTCAGCCAAACCGATTTACTCCGGAACAAACAAAACACTGAAAAAAGGCGAACAATTACATTTTTAATTTCTCCGAGTGACGTATATCATGTTTAACCTGAGTAGCGAAAGACAGCGGGGGTCTGAAAACGATGAAGCCGGGAGTCCGCTGCTCTCGCCGGCTGGAGTGACCATTGAACCCCCCGGCTCGCTATCGAGCGGGTGGGTAACAGACGTCTCCAAAGACGTCGGCGCACACTTTTGCAAATATGCGATGTCTTGATAAACTGAGCAGATATTTGATGTTTACACAGCTACTTTCTCCCCTTAATATATGTTAAAAGTTTATTTTGCGGCCAGAAAGATTAATGAGAATAATTTTAAAACTTAGTAGCGCCGCCATTGTTGGAAACTGGAATTTGGGTGAGGTGTGAGGACACACCTGACCCATCCTTCAAATTCAGGGAAAAGGAGGACGCATTTGAAATAGTCGACAACTTGGGACAGCCTTCGTCGCCTGGCTGTGACGTAATCGGCCTTCAAATGCGGCCTCCGGAGGATGCAGCCGACGTGTTGGGACAGCTTTGGAAAAGCTTCAGGACAGCGGCCCTCGAGGACTGGATTTTGACAGCTCTGCTTTAGATGAAAAAATGAACAGTTCACATTATGAAGGTTAAATGTTATTAATGCTCAGCTTTTTAACATTTGATATGAATATTTGGATGCTGTTTATCATGTTTTTGACCTTTTAAAAAACACAAAAACTGAAGCTTCAAAGGCTGCAGTTTCTGTAACGTCCAGCAGGGGCTCCAGCGAGTCTCTCATGTTAACACTTTGCAGCAGAAACAAACATGTTTGCAGCCTGATGCACAAACTTGTTGGTCCCTGGAGATATTTTGTTCTTCGAGTTTGCATTAATGAGGCGTGGCCTCATTGACTGACAGGTGGAGGTGACACAGGCGGCTGTAGCTGTAGCTGTTAGCTGTCTGCTAGGCTTTTAGTCGGACCTCTGAGTTATTAATGACATCATGTGACCAGTATTATGGCTGCTGTGAGGTTACAGTACTAACAGCACATCCAAGAAGGCGGAGCTCCAAGTTTGCAGAGTGAAATTCTAGTATTTTGATTGGATGTTATGGATCAGCAGGTGTCCGAGTGATGCTCCCATAGAGTCTGTGCTGCCCCAGATAGCATCAGCTGATAACCTAGCGCTCCACCCACTCATCCAAACGTGTTCACCTTTGGAAATGGACTGAGACTTCAAAATGTGAACGTATAAACAAGTTACATCCATCTTCTATTTACAGTGTGATAAAACCCCAGCGAGCTGCTCGTCTTTATAACGTCGCACTTTGTGCTGCTCGTTTATTTTTGTGGTTGCGGCAGCTTTATTGATCCTGACTGAGCCGTACGCTGTGAGCACCATGAGAAATGTCACAGCTTTACATCACACCAGCCCGTGTTTGTGTTTCAGCTGTGATGCAAACTGGGACGCACACACCGACGGTCAGCTCACCACTTCTCGTTTTGCCGTTCTCACTCACAGTTTATTGCTTCAGCAGAATGGGAAGTGTGCAAAGTGTGGCTATTCCCGTATGTCACCAGCTGCTCCGTTTAATTATAGAGCTTCTCTGCTCTCCCAATAAACCCTCAGTACTGACTTTACCATCACTATATCCTGCAAGGGCACAAAGCAAAGATGTGCGACCTTCAAAACCTGAAACTGTCACACGGCTCTCAGATTAAATAATGTTTCACAGCCAAAGCTTAGAGCCGTGAGGTCAAACAGCATGCAGTCCAAACCAGAGTGTGAAAGGAACACAACATGTGGACATGAATAGATAATTTTGTTTAAAGCATGAACGGCATGTGTACAAATTTAGGTTATCATTCCTCGGCAAAGCCTTCCAGCTCGCAGCTGAGCAGCATATTTTCACTCATGTGGTTTATTTGGTTTTTCCTAGCAGAGCTGCAGCCAAACATCAGTTTCATTATTGATTCATGTCCTGGTTATTTTAATCAGACTCAGAACAAATCAAATAAAAAATGTCTCGCTTGAATCTCGGAAAGTTTCGGTCCAAACCTAAAGGCCGATTCTCACCTCAGAAAGTACTGTTCGCTTTTCTGGCTGACTGAACAGAAAGCAGAGGCCATTCAAACTGGATTAGCTTTGGCTCAGATCCATTAAAGGTTCCAGTAAATGATCGTGGTGAACTCTTTCCCAACACTGAGAAACTGGAAGAAGCTAAATTGAATGCAGCCAGTGGCAAAATGTTTAGAAATCAAATCCTAGCTGATATCAAACACTGTTCAATGTGAGGGCCCGTCAGTGGCCCAGGCAGCTGTTACACAATCAGCAATCATCCTTCTGCTGGAGTGTCTGTGCAGCTCAAACGCAGGCTCTGTCACATGACCCTGCTGTATGCCATGTATGTTGTCCAGCAGCTCAGGGAGCAGTGTGTACACCGTATACCTGTGGGTCGGTAAAGCTCACCTGGACATGATAGAATAGAATAATCCTTTAATTGTCCCACAAGTGGAAATTTGGTTGCAAAAAAACACATACAAACAGGACAGGACACCGGTATTTACCAAAGCAGAGTACTGCACAGTTATTAAGATTAAATTACAGATAAGTGGCAAACCCAGGTTGTAGTGTGCAAACAGAGCAGGATACTGAACGATGTTTAAATAGTTAAGAATATCTAGAATCATTAGAAGAGTGCAGATTGTGTGATTGTACCTGTGCATTAAAAAGTAGACATGTAACTTCCAAAAAGTTGGCGTATATAAACTGAGAAAAGTAATGTGCAAGTTGTAACAGTAGAAGTTGTTTGGTTGGTGGAAATTGCAGCGCTGACGTAAACATCTGTTTGCTGGGAGCAGTTTTGATTGACGATGCTATCGAGCTCAAAGTTACAGTTAGCTGTTACTGTAGAAAGTTAATGTCAGTTACTCGCCTTAGCTCGCTGCCATCACAGCATTTACTGATGGGGAAAAATCAGCACGCACACTCATCTCTGTGCTTGGCATGTTAGACCGGGGCAGCGTTCGATAAGTGGAGAGTCCTCTTCACACACTGAGGTTAATTATGGAGTTCCACAGGGTTCAGTGCTAGGACCGGTTCGGTTTACTAGGGCTGCCACGATTAGTCGACTATCAAAATTTAATTTAATAGTCGACGCGTCGTTTGAAGCTTTGTAAGATCCTGAAAGACGCAGGAATAAGCAATAAGATTTAAGAGTGTAAGACAGAAGATGGCAGCACTGCATGTACAAGGACCAGCTGCCATTAAACACTGAAGAAGAAGGAGCTGTCTCCAGTATCGTCCGGTCTCAGACGAGCGCGGTCGTTTTATTTTGTAAAGCTGTTTACTTTAAGAACACGGGGTGCTGTTGGAGGAGGTGCTCAGTCTCTACAATCCAGCTCATAGCGATGCCTCTTTAAGACCACCGAACTCTACGTTACAACCCAAACATAGTTTTACTCAAACTTTGTTTTCCTGAATCTTTCGAATAATAAGAAGGTAATAATAAACACCAGGGTCCGGTCCAAACAGTAAACTGACACACCTCATCTCAAGTGTTTACATCCTGCAGGAGTTTAAAATTTATTGTTGTGTAAATTTTTAACTCAGTCAAGTGAGAAACTAAGGCCACCTCTCCATGCCCACAGCATGAAGCAGAGGTTTCTGCAGTGTGCAGGTCTGAAACATTCAGATGTGTTAACACAACAGTCCTCACAGGAGTAGGTTAAAGGGCATGACAACACAGTTGGAAACAAACTGAATGACTGTAGCTGTTTGGAAGTGCTGCAGGAGCACGGCTTAGGTTTGTAAAGCTGCATCTGTACAAAGGAGGAAGCCAAACACCTCCTCGGCGGACCGTGGACTCCTCTGTACCACTGTGTGCTGGAGTCAGTGTGAGGCCGTCTGTCCCACAGCCTGGACCAAACTGGCTCATCAGCAGGACAACGATCCAAGCGCAGCAGCAAATCTCCAACTGAACGGCTGCGACGGTCCGAAGTGCAGAGCTCAGAGAGCTGTGCATGAACGAATGCTGCAGACCTCAATGAGCTGAAACAGGAGTGTCTTTGTCTGCACTCTTTATTACCACAGACTCAAATCTGCAACCGTAAAAATGAAAAGATGCAAATGATGCAAACAAAGCCGTCGGAAACTGTTGTCACTGTGGTTGGACGTGGACGGTAGTTCTGACTGTTTACTTCTGTTCATTGTTATGGTCGCAGATTTGAACCTGTGACGACAGACTGCAGAGGAATCATGCATCCTCTCCTCTTTAAAGACATGTTTTAATTGACTGAGCTTTCAGCCTCAGGTCACTGCCGCAGGTTTAATGAGAGCCCAATGTTAGCTAGCATCTGTCCGTGCTGTACAACATCAGGCGGAAGGTTTGAACCTGCACAGCGAGCTCCTGATAATTATCTTTCTGTCTCGATCCAGATGGTTTTATGGGAAGCTGAGCCGCTTCGAGGCCCAAAATCACCTGATGGCCCCAGGAAACGAAGAGGGAGCCTTCCTCGTCCGGCAGAGCGAGAAAGACGACATCGGATACGTCCTGTCAGGTAAGTGGACAGGGAGGGCCTTTACAAGCACGAGGAGGGGCTACAGAAAACCCCAACAGAGGCTCTAACGAATCCTCCTCATGTCAGCACTGAGATGATGCAGTGAACATGTGCTCCAAAGGTGGATACTGTCGACAGGTAACAGGTTGAATCAGCCAATAAAAACCAGGCCTAGCAGAGACAGCGTTAAACGGGCTGTGATTTTGACACTTTTTCACCTGAGCCAGGTGAGTCTCTGGGTTCATCAGGGAGCTGATTGGTTAATCGTTTCTGCAGCCGGCGCTGCAGTGTTCATTATAACTGAGATTATCACTGAGAGCTGTGCTTTTTCCACTGATGTTTAGTTTCTGTTTTCTGAGGTCATGACAGCAGAAATAAAAAATAACCGTAGCAATAAAAATGAGGTCTCGTGTCCTGTTGAGACTCGTCTCTGACTCCGTCCGTCTTCCTGTAGTGCGATCCGGCAGCCGCGTGAAGCACTTCAAGATCCACCAAGGAGATGATGGTTTCCACATCGAGCCCAAGCATCATTTCAGCTCGCTGATCGACGTGGTCGACTTTTACTGCGCCAACAGCCTCAACACCACCGGCCAGCTGGGCAAGCCCTGCAAGAAGGTGAGTCTTCATACCGCCATCATTTATTCGCTCCTCTTGTCTGTGTGACGGGGCCGCTGGCCGGGAGCAGCCTTTAGTTTTGCATGGATGTGAATGTCTGAGGTGCACGCTTCTGTTTCCTCCATCAGAAAAGGCCAGAAACCCAGGATTTGAACCACTTCACGGTGGACGAGTGGGAGCTCCCGAAGGAGGAGTTCACGCTGGAGGAGGAGCTGGGCAGCGGCTTCTTTGCTGATGTTTACCGCGGCCGCTGGAAAAACCACATCAGCGTCGCCATCAAGATCCTGAAAAGCGGTATTTTATTTTCTGCTGCTCACAAACACAAGTCTGCTCAAACGCTTTCAAGCCGTCATTAGCCCCGCCCCCCGCCTTTCATTCAGTGCTGTAACATGACTGAAAACATTAAACACGGCTGTGGAAACACTGAGGACAGCACGCTGACCCTCATGCAGACAGCACATTACAAACGAAACACACGGTGAAGAATTTTATTTCTGTCATGAGGAAGTGAGAGTTTTCCTTCCTCCGGAAACAGCAGCACCTCCGGCCAATAAGACATCATAAGGATGGAGAGAAACTCAAAGACAAATGTGAACACATGCTGAACGATGCCTCTGATGCTTTCACAGACACACAAGTTGGTTTTGTTTTTTGTCCATCCAACAACCCAAAACCCACAGAAAATTACACTCAGGTGGACATAAAAGACAAAAAAGTCATCAAATAGTCTGCGGCTCCAGAAATGCGTCTTCTTCCAGCTGTAGATCCCTCCCTCGATGTGATTGGACCACAGGCCCGGTCTCGTTCCTGGGCATCGGATAAATGTGCGTCACGCCGCAGTCGGAGCCTCTGAACCTCCAGGGTTACCGTAGTGCCCGCATCTCACCTGCAAGGCCAAGAGTAACAATGTAGTGTGGCCAAAATAGGAAGAAAGTGGGAAAGGGCCCCAGCGTGGAAACTCACCCGGCGTGTGAATAATGGCGGCGTACAGGCTGAAAGAGACGGAATTACAGGCTGCCGCAATAAAAACGCGTCACCTGACTTTAAACGTGATCCGAAGGTCAGCCTGATCAGCTCAACGCGGGGCGCAAGGACACCCGACGCAGGTTTACACGTGAGGGCATGAGCGCGGGAGCATGAGCGCGGGAGCATGAGCGCGGGAGCATGAGCGCGGGAGCATGAGCGCGGAAGCAGGAGCGCGGGAGCAGGAGCGCGGGAGCAGGAGCGCGGGAGCAGGAGCGCGGGAGCAGGAGCAGGCTCCCGCTTGAGTTATAAAGTGTGAAACGTCTGGCATAAGTGACTCCGGGCAGGTTTTGAGCTGCAGGTGAACTTCTCAGCACGTTAGAAATGTTCTTGTTCTGGAACCTGCAGCTGATGTTTCAGGTTAAAACACTGAAACAAAGATGATAGAAATATGCAAAGTTATGGTGACATTAGATGCTTGAGTCTTGTCATGCATCCGTTTCTAAACCAGCTCCGTGCCGTGAAGCAGGGGCTGCAGGAGATGAGGACGGGCCGGCCTGTGATTGGTCAGCTGACAGTGAGAGGCACTTCAGGGCGACATCGACGAGCCACTCGAGCTCTTTCCGAGGATCGGTTCAAACAGCATCACAAAGAAAGAGGCGCTCGCACGCTCCGCAGGTTTGCATATGCAAGCGATGCTGCGGGAGACCAGCGCCACGTTTCTAAAGCAGAGCTCGTGTTTGGTGTTTGGTCTCCATGATAAGCTGGGCAAACTATCCAATAGTACTTTCCATGGAAACAACCGGCTGTTTCCCGCTGTTGTCTGCTTTGCATACGGTACATTTAAATGTTTGAGCCCTACAGCAACGATACAGTAAGGGTCAGGCTCTCAGGACTTTAATTTGAGATGCTGCTCAGTGAGGCTTTCAAAGCTCAGCTTCAAAATCAGGAAAGAGAAATCTTCCTGAAACATCCGGCTCAGGCGGAGCCGAGCATTTCTCAGAGAGGGGTCTCCGAAATCTCAGCGCGCCTCCCTCTAAATGTCTTCGTATACCCCAGTCATTAACTGGTCCTTCAGTAACACGCTGAATGATCCACCAGCGTCGTGCTGATCATCTTTTTAATACAGTCTTTGTTATTATCCAACAACAATCTAGACAAGAGGCACATTTCTCTTTATAATTACAGTGTCATGTTTTCCACCTTTGAGTACAGTTGTTGTGCCTTTCAGGTCATTTCTCTCACCCGTCTTCCTCTTTTCTCGTCTGTCTGTTTTCGCCTTTTTATTTCTGTCCTGCTCTCAGACTCGGAGCTGAACCACAAAGAGTTTCACGGGGAAGTTCAGATCCTAAAGCGCCTGCGCCACCGTCACCTCATCTCGCTGTTCGCCGTGTGCACGGCGACCATGCCGTACTACATCATCACCGAGCTGATGGAGAAGGGCAGCCTGCTCAAGTTCCTCAGAAGTAAACCTCAGCTTTGTTTCCAGTGAAAGATCAGAGTTCAGTGTGCTGTGTAACGTTGGACAGCGAGGGCTTTGATTATGGTTACAGCCTCAGCATCGAGCTCAGCGGGCGGTCAGCAGGGGGCGCTCTCTGTCTGTTCTCAGGGAAACAAACAGCTGTCAAACTGCCAGCTGCTGCAAAGCCTCGGAAACGTGCCAGATAGCTACACACGTATATTTATATTCAGCAAAGTCACAAACGTATGGGAGGGAGATATTTCAGAGATGGATTTTATATCTCAGATATAGATTTCACATATCTGAGATCAATTTTATATTCCTGAGACATCATGTTTGTGATCTGGTCCCAGTTTCTGGGTTACAGCTCCTGACCCTCCTCTTACCGCTGGAACCATCTGTCCATCTTCCACATCTGTCCCAGCGGCGGTCACTGTGTCTGGTTGGTCGTCCAGCAGCTGTGTGTCACGAAGTCCCCCAGAACCTTAGCCTTGTTATCCTCCACCACCTTTGGTGATATCTCCCACCTAGATTTTTTTTTAATGCTGTCGGCGTTAATCTCATTAAAATCTCCTTAACGCTGTAACTGCATTTTTATATCTATTTTTTTATTTCTTCTGTTTAGAATGAAACTTAGTGCAACTCTTTTCTGCTTACATTTCATTATGATCATAACAGCTAGTTTCCCCACACGCAGACAGCGATATTAAATCATTATCTGTCAGGAAATCGCAGCTGAGCATCAACATACAAACACATGATCAATTTTCACTTAAATCTGAGAAACGATTTCCAACCTGTGAAATCCGACCCTCAGGGGAGCTCGTGAATGCAGCACCGAGCTCCTGTAACAGCTGCTGAGTGGATGAAATCTGGAGCAGGTACTGATGGTGGTTTGGAGTTTCTGGTGTTCAGTGGAGCAGCTCCATCTGCTGATCCAGAGACGTTCAGGTGGAGAATTAGAACCATCGAGTTCCAGAGCCCGTGGTCGGGCTTCTGGAACTCGATGGACCTCCATGACTGGGTGGAGAGGCGCTTCTGTTCAACAGGTGGGCTTGACGAGTGGGAGACAGTCAGACTGTGTGTGGGGAGGGAAGGGGCCACTGTCCACTGAATCAGCAGCAGGAGATGGGTGTTCGATAAACTCAGACCTTTTACTTACCGGCGCACTCACTTCATCTGCATCGTTCTCTCACTCAGGTCCAGAGGGCCAAATACAAGACGTCGCATCCCTCGTTGACATGGGAGGCCAGGTGGCTGATGGGATGTCATATCTGGAGGAGATGAACAGCATCCACAGAGATCTGGCGGCTCGAAACGTCCTGGTGGGACATGACTACATCTGCAAGGTGGCCGACTTCGGCCTGGCCAGAGTCATCAAGGTAAGCGGAGGAGGAGCTGTCGATCTCTAAGTGGAGCACGGCTCAGCTCTGACGGCAGAGTCTTGTTTTTCCCTTCAGGAGCCGTTTTACATCTCAGAAGACAAAAAGATTCCCTACAAGTGGAGCGCTCCCGAGGCCATCAGCCACGGGAAGTTCTCCATCAAGTCCGACGTCTGGTCTTTTGGCATTCTGCTCTACGAGATCATCACCCGTGGAGGAGTTCCTTACCCAGGTTAGTCCACGAGAGAGATTCATTCAATTACTGATGTCTTGATCGTCACGTGTGTGTCTTTAGCTTTATCACAATAATCGTGATTATCCCAAAAGCTTGACTCTGCTCATCTGGATGCAGCGAACACGTCAGACTAACTTCTGCTAACTTGAGTAACCTTTAAATCCTCTCAGGGACGCCTGCACGTTAAACTTTACTGTAACAGCTGAGCGAGCGCCGCGGCTGCATCGCTGTGTTTCAGGAGCTGAAGGAGCGCTTGGTGAAAAACGGTGGCCTCCCCCCAATCTCGCAGCTCGTGCAGTATTTATTAACACGTGCAGCCCTCTAGCTGCACACTCTGCTCATGTCACAGTCCACGTGTGCTTGAATGCGATTGGCCGGTTTGCACAAGGAAAAGAGATAAGTGAGTTCCTTAAACGTGCATAAATGTGGACTTTATGAATCTCTGCAGTAACCAGAATAAATAACCAGAGCGAGCCAGCTGACCACTCCCACTATCTGACTTTCATACTGTCTACGTATTCAGAATTACAGCCTTCACATACATATGAGGCACTTACAGCTTTTCCAAAGCTACGTAAATCCAGCAGATCTCCACATGAAAAACATTTAAGCTGTGATTAAAAACTGCTCTCAGATCAGTTTCAGTCCCACTGCAGGACTCCCGTCAGTCTGAGGACTGAGCCCAGTTCTGATGATCTATCAGACACAGAGGAGCACAGAGAAGTGCTGGTATCCTGAAGTTTGATCTGAAAACTTCACCAAACGGTGCATTCTGGGTAAACCCGTTTTTATGCGGGATCAGAGTCCAGGTGCACTTCTTTGTGAGGTTTGTCTGATTTCGTGTTGGCGTGTCACTGTGTGATGGAGATGCACTGCACACTAAGGTGAGGGTTTACAGAGCTGCTGCCCGACACAGCTCAGCTGCTCTGCAGATATTTGAGCTAACACAAAGCACTCTTCATCACTTGTCCTCCTCTCCTCCCTCAGCTTACAGTAACCAGGAAGTGTACCAGCAGGTAACCCTGGGATACAGGATGCCCAAACCGCCCAACTGCCCAGACTTTCTCTATGAAATCATGAAGCGGTGCTGGAGCACCGAGCCGGCCGACCGGCCCGACTTCAGGGTACTGAGGGTCAAACTGGAGTGCAGCTCGTATGAGTTAGAGACGGCACAACCCTGAACTGCTGCAGTACAGATGGAGCGCCACAGGGGGGCAGCAGAGAGGCAGCAGAGAGGCAGACACAGAGCAGCGACTGCAGAGCTCTTCAGTGAGGACGCGCTTCAAAGAGCAGAACCACCGAGAGTCCCCAAAGACTGCAGCTGACTCACACCACCACCACCACCATCTTCACCAACATCACCATCATCATCACCAACACCATCAACACCACTACCAACATCACCACCACCAACATCATCACCATCTTCACCACCAACATCATCACCATCTTCACCACCACCATCATCACCATCTTCACCAACATTATCACCAACACCATCACCACCACCAACACCATCACCTCCATCCCCACCACGTCATGATATCGTGTCATTTCATGATGTTGTTGAAATGGAGCTAAACCCTTGAGGACTGCAGAGGGTTCTTTATGAGCAGCTGTATCACTGATTAATGAGCATGTTAGTTTGTCATGTGAGCATCTTTGGGTTTAAATGAGTCATTTTCATCATATTCTCGTATGTTTTTCTACCAACGGTAAATAAATTCTGAGCTTTGACTTTAAAATCAGTCCGCTCACTGTGCTTGGTCATTGCCAGTTCGCGCTAGTAATCCAGGCTGCAGGTGCCTGACTAACCATCAGGTTATTTCAGGCTCCGGTTCACTAAACCCGGCCCGCAGAACTCCAGACAGACTTGCGGCACTGGCAGGTGTTGTGTGTCAGTTTATGTTCCTGGACAGGTGTTTTCCTCCTGGTTTTCCATCAGACTGATCTCAGACCTACCTCAGGTCCATGCTACCAGTGAAGATTTCCCACTTTTGAAGGGAATCTGGGGGTGTGGAGGGGCTGGTGGTGGCTCTTTGCCAGTAATGGGAGTGATAATGTTTGGAGTCAAACATGGGAAAGTCTCTTTTTATTCAGATTTATAATTATTGTAATTTAGGGTAGGCCAGCATGTCCATAGTGTCGTAGTAAGCACCCAGAGATCCCCGGTTTGTGCCGGTGGTCCCTGACAGGGTCACAGCCTGGCGTGGCTCAACGAGCAGCTGGAGGAAGTGTTGTTTATGAGTCGTTACCATAAACATGAACAGGCCTGTTTGTGCTATGAGGCTGGGCTGAAACCATAAACCAGGCTTGTTGCAGGCGAGGTTCTGAGCACGGGCCTGTCTCGCTCCACCTACCAGGACTCACCTGTGGCTGAGGTGAGGCCGTCAGACCTGCTCGAATGAACAGCTGATGAATCTTTAGAGCGTCTCTGCGTTCTTGTCTTTAGAGACACTGGAATCCTTTCAGTCCCTTCTCATTGATGCCCCGCCCCCTAACTGGGACCTCCCTGCAGCTCTGATAGGTCCCAGCCTTGCAGTTGAGGTTTGCTGATGTTGTAACCGCCATGAACAGTCTGCTCGCTTCAGAGTCCTCAAAGATGATTGGCCAATGCAGGTTTCCACAAAGTGATGTAACATGTGAAATATGATATTTTCCTGTTAATGCTGACAAACTGCTACAAATACACTCTGCATATCATGTCCTCTCATCAACCAGCGTCATGAAGCGTCTGTGGGTCCAAGCGCTCCTTCAGTTCCTAGATCGCAGGGCGGTCGGTGCTGCCCTCTGTGGTCTTAATGCGGTGCACGTGAGCTGAGAAGCAAATGCAAAAATCATCAACCGGTGAGAGCACGGTGACTTCCTGTGATCGGGTTTATTACACCGACTACGAGCACAGGCATTTTACAACATGTCAGCTTTTATATGGCATACTCAGCCTCACACGTGCAGGTTATTGCATTCAGATTTTCAGTAAACTTGACCTCTGACCTTCATCACTTCTCCTCTCCTCCCTCAGCTTACAGTAACCAGGACGTGTACCAGCAGGTAACCGTGGGATACAGGATGCCCCAACCGCCCAACTGCCCAGACTTTCTCTATGACATCATGCTCCAGTGCTGGAGCGCCGAGCCGGCCGACCGACCCGACTTCAAGTCCCTGAAGGCCCAGCTGGGCCGAGAGGAGCTGGAGTGACACACACACACACACACACACACACACACACACACACACACACACACACACACACACACACACACACACACACACACACACACACACACACGGACTCTTTGAAGCTCGTCTTCTTGCAAAACTTCATCTGGTCATCCCTGAGAGCACAGAGAAGTTTAGGTAACAGCTCCCATCATAAGCTAACGAGTTTAGTGAGCCAATCATCTGCAGATTACTGCAGGACGAAAGACGGGTTCACAAACTGTTTTATCTGTTTTGTCCTCCATGGCTGAAGCTGGAGGACGGCCGAGACACTGAGCCGTCAGTGTTTTTAATCACATTAATCATGTTTCACGAGCTTTCCTCAGAGCTGACAGATGAAACCACACGCCTCACGTGATGCTTTAGAAGCAGTGTTGGGGAGTAACGGAATACATGTACCGCCGTTACGTATTTAGAATACAAAATATAAGTAACTGTATTCCGTTACCGTTTAAAAAGGTGGTATTCAGAATACAGTTACTTTGTTGAAATAAATGGAATACACTGCGGTACTTTCCTGTTTCATTTTGTCGCGGGTCAGGACTGTTTGGGTTTTGTTTGACAGCTACGTTCTGTTGTTCCAGGCGGCAGCGTTACGGTTGCCATGGTTACAGGGCGACGCTCTCTCTCTCTGCGACTGTGTGTTTCCTGGGTGAGAGAGCGCCTTTTCGTTGTTGTTGTTGTGCTAAGCTAACAGGCAGAATGCTACAAGCATAGCTCTAAAGAATGTAGCATCATGGGCAGTGTAGTCCGTGTTGCAGGGAGAATGGACTGCCATACACGTTATGTGTCTGTGAGCGCGAGGAGGGAGAAAAAGGTACGAGCTGTCGTCGAGGAAAAACGGGAGCTGGAAGCATGTAAATATAATAATAACCACTGCAGCCAAGAAGAGTGCCTGACGAGCCCAGTTGTAAGTAAGCTATTAAGACTCGACTGTACGCTGTGTTCGTGTTTTCCTCCGAAAACAATAAGTTCCGTTGGAGCAGCCTTTCAAAGCCTCTCTCTGTCTGTCGCAAGAAAAGTTGACCCACACAACAAAGTAGAGCTATTTTTCGGCTACCAGCCGACAGGGACCCCGCCGTATTATGCTGGGCTTACACTGTGCGATTTTTTCAGTCGCGCGATTCAGCTCCTGCTCAAACTGTACGATTGACTCGCAGGGGTTAGAAGTTCGTAGGTCACGATGCAGGGTCTCACACTATACGGCCCGATGCTCTGATGCGACCTGAGTGCTCACACTGTGCGTCCATAAAAATGAAGGTTATAACAGAAAATCTGTCGATTGCTCTCCCTCTCTGTCTTTCACTCACACAGACACACCACCACCATCAACTTTGCTAAATTGCTAATGAAAAACATTAGTCAGGCAGCTGTGATTGAGCAGCAGTGTAGATCCAACTATTTTCACGGTTGTTGTGGTCGTGATAATTTTGTGAGGCCACATCGAAAGGGCTCGGATGGTTCTACAGGTTGTGCCTCCATCGCTTGTGTCCAGATCACACGCTGCACTGCCGTGCTACGCCGTCTTTTTCGCTGACATTTGTGTTTGCGCGTGCGCAGTGTGGCAAACTGCGGGGACACCCTCACGACCAAGCGATTGATGATCGGGAGCTGGTCGTGAGGTGTCAATCGCTTCTCGTTACCCCACGTATACTACACGATGCACGAAGCACGATGAAGGCCAAAATCGGGCCGATCGCCAAAACGGTCGCACGACTCAAAAATCGGCTCAAAATGGGCCAAAAATCGCACAGTGTGAGCCCAGCATTAGTCAGAGGTCCCTTTACTACAGTTCGGAGCCGCGGACCTTCAGTAATAGTAATAAATCACACAGCAACAGTACATTCACGTTGTTGTAAAAAGCATGATAATATTGTAGCGGGTCAGGGCTGTTCGGGGTTCTGCTTGTACAGTTATGTTTTGTGTATGTTGCCATGGTGACGGGTGACGCCCTCTCGCTGCGACGGTGTGTCCTTCCGGGGTCAGAGGGCGCCCTATGTGTGTTGTGGTTGCCGCGCTGAGCAGTTAGCTAGTGGCAGTGTGTTCTTCTGCAAATGTAATAAACGGCTGTGCTCCCTGGCTAGCTCACGGGAAGCAAGACCAAACGATACCTCCGTCTCCTCCTTGTCTGAACTCGCCACAATATATTAAGTAATCCAAAGTATTCAGAATACGTTACTGTCATTGAGTAACGTAACGGAATAGGTTACAGAATACATTTTGGGGCATGTATTCTGTATTGGAATACATTTTAAAAGTAACCTTCCCAACACTGTTTAGAAGCTACTCATAGCCTCGCTTTGACCTCTGATCTGACCTCTTACTGCCCTCAGGTACCAGTATGCAGAAGCCTAAATTAAATGAAAGTGACTTACATTAAACTAAACAGGATGTGTGACAAAACCAAAGCTTCTGCCTGGAATGAGGTCCCAGCAGTCACGGTGTCTTTGGAAAAGTAATAAAATGCCTTAATGTCGCAGGTTCCTGGTCCCTGTCAAACCGCTTTAGTTTGAGTCTCTGCGGCCTGACGAGGCGACGCTGCAAACGTTTACTCAGCAAACTGAAGCGTCGAACACAGCAGTGAAGCGAGGCTCGAGAGGCTGGTGCTGAGAAATGCTTCCTGCACTTTTTCGGGCTTCACTCGTTGTTTCAGGTTTTATTTTGTTGTCACTGTGATGCACTTTTTAAAGCGAATGATTGTGTTGTAGGTCATCATCGTTGGTAATATTACTGACATTTTCCTGCTCTGTAACACTTTCAGCAGCTCTGCTGTCTCAGAATAATATTTTCTTCTATGTGAACTTTGTTTACAAACACATTTCATGCAGAGAATAAAAGAAGAAGAAAATCAATTTGCATAAGATTAGAAAGTAACGGTGCAGCTGTAGTGTCCATCTGTGGCCTGCAGGGGGCAGCGCAGTCTCAGGAGCTGCTCTCAGTATATTAAATATGAGTTTTATAAGTTTCTGAAGAGCGAAGTTTTTCCTGCACAGCTGTGAGGAGAGAGGCTGACGCTGCTTACTCTGAAATCAGACCATTCTTCATTTTTCAAAATCAATTAAAAAAATCTGATGATCAACAAACCAAAGACTCACTATTTCTTTGCTGTATGAGAACTTTAGTGTGTGTGTGCGCACTGAGGTCATGTGACTGGTTTGGT